TTGATTTTAGAGTGAATCTTTGCAAATCCACCCTGAAAAAAGTCATAAAAGTTGTTAAACTCTTTATTTGTGACAATTGTTGATAGAAAACCAGGATCAACAAATGATCCTGTTTGCAATCCCACAACAAACGTGGGTTGGCATGATGATGTGACGAACACATCATGTATAACAGATGTACTTGGTAGTGGGATTTTATTGACGTTCATCCACCAGGACTTCCACCCAATCCTTGACCATCCCGAGAAGGAACGTGTGTATTAGGACAGGTTGACAAACTACCTGTATAGGTAAGTCACAAAGACTTGTGCCGGTGTAAGGAAGATTAGCAGTTTCATGATCTACATTTGGCTCAATAGAGGATGGACTCCCCGACTCGATGTGATCGAAAGAATGATGAGGATGAGACAAGTGTTCCTCGATTTCAACATTGACCTCCTCCAAATGAGGAGCTAATGGGGTATGTGTTGGTTGCCACAAAATGTGTGATGAAACATCTCCCTTTTGAGGAACAACTAGAGCCTTTCTGGTTGCTCATAAACCAAGCACTTTTCCAAAAGAGTTTATCCAAAACCATTGGCCATAAGCCAAGTTTTCCCCTTCTCAATAACATCAATACTATCATTTCTAGTAAGAGCAACATCTCTGGGTCCTCAAATCACAAAGAAGTAAGAACTCAAATCTATTGCAATCTTAAGAGACATAATAGCAAGAGCTATAATAACCACACATACAAATGCCACCCTTATATCCAAAGGTACACCTCTCTTTGATATGCCACCCTTAAAACCGAAGTTACACCTCTCCTTGTTATGCCACCCTTATCCTATTGTACACCTCTCCTTGATATGCCACCCTTATCCTATTGTACACCTCTCCTTGATATGCCACCCTTACTTCCTCATCAAAATCTATGGATTAGTTCCAAACAAAGACAGACCGAAGTCACAACCGTCTTGATGAAACAGCCTCCATAGTTTTATCCTCCAAAATCTATAGATTAATTCCAAACGAAGACATACCGAAGTCACAACCATCTTGATGAAACATCCTCCATAGTTGTATCCTCCAAAATCTGTAGATTAATTCCANCGAAGTCACAACCATCTTGATGAAACATCCTCCATAGTTGTATCCTCCAAAATCTGTAGATTAATTCCAAACGAAGACATACCGAAGTCACAACCGTCTTGATGAAACATCCTCCATAGTTTTATCCTCCAAAATCTATAGCTTAATTCCAAATGAGGACAGACCAAAATCACAACCATCTTGATGAAATATCCTCTATAGTTTTAACCAATAATGGCTTCAAAACAGTTTTATTTTCAAAACACAAAACTCAAGAACTACCAGTTCTTCCAAGATCATTTCCAAACTCAAAATCTCCCTTTAAATCCTTAAAATAGGATATTGTCCACAAACTGTTTTAAAGAGGCTAAAGCTTCTTTATCTTCCCATAACAATTTACACAACCAGATTCTTAAAAACACAACATCAACTGTTTAGAAAATAATTTTTACCATAATTTCTTTGAAATAAAATATCCAAAGCCACATATTTCCAATAACATAAGTTAAAGGTTTTAGTATCAAAACTCACCTTATATGTAACATCCAATTTCTAATATACCCAATTATTTGCTTAGTATAATTAATTATTGGGTTAAAGTGAGCTTATGATTAGTGGGAATTTGGGGTCTAAATTTTTAGATTTATATTTCTTAAGAATATATTAGAGGATTTGAGGAAAATGTTATGTCAAATAGATACGTAAAACTGATTTTCTTGGAAGAAATTTTCTGGAATATTTTGTTGGATGTTATAGATTATATCTTTATGGACGTGTAGGCGAAAACCTCATAGAAAATGGAGGTCCGAGTGAAAAGTTA